TAAACTCCTAATTTGCTGCTTATTAATAGTTAGTAAGGTAGTTAAGTTTAGGTATTGGGTAGGATTAGGGATATCTTTTTAAGTACTAATAAACAGCCAATATGTTAATAATAGACATGATAATAAGCAACTTAATAGTAAGAATTGGTCCCTAAACTAAAGTGTTTCCAAATTATTTTATAATAATGAAACGGAGAGTGTTGGTCAACTATATAAATAAATTGGTCAAATTAGCCCAGCTTTGAACAAATTTTGTGGGCAAAGTAGTCAATTGTCCTTTATATTTGTAAACCTGGTGAATTTGAATGTTAAAAGTTCAACAAACTTGAATCTGATGCGTAATTCACATGGTGAAATTTTCTCATGACTTGTCCCTCACTTCCCGATCACATGCATTCCTATCGACCCACGGAATTTTGACTATAAATGGGCAGAGAGGTAATAGGGCAAAAAGGTCCAAGTCTACTGTAGTGTAGCAATGTATAAAGCACAGCTCACAAGTAGGGCTGCACGATTAATGGAATGCGATTGTCATGTGCATTTTGTTAAAAAAGCCGGTTCTGTAATCTGTCGAATCGCGATCTCGATTCCGTTTTGATTTATCGTGCAGCCCAACTCACAAGTCACTTTTATACCAAGCAGATTTACGTTTATCAATGACCAACTTGAACTTGTTTCAAAATTTGTGTTGAGACATTTTTAATCCTCACATGACTGGATTTCGCCAAATAACGGTAAATGTGTCCCCTTAAGTGTCAGTAACTGTCAGGAGGTTGTTTGCTTTTTCAGACTGGGGTACAAGTTGGTTTGATTTTATCTGGTAGCCTAATCGACTGCACACAGATGCTGTCAATAGAGTTTAACTTGTATTTACCAAGACAAATCTTTCAAATGGACAGAGAAATTCTCATCCTTCGATATACTTGTTATTAGTGCACTATATCAACGCTGCATGGTTGAACATGCCAGCCAGAGGCTCTGTCATGTTGACAGTCTGTCTGTAACATTTAAACCTCAAATCTGTGAGTTATTCATTATCATTCTTTAGGAATTTGGTGACATAAAGTCAATCTGTAGATCAAAATACGGTGTTTGTATAAGCTCCCTGAGGCTAAACAACAGGTATATGCAGGCAGAAGATGTTCTGCAGGAGGTAACTGATCTAAATCCTTTAAAGATGACACAAAGCTTTTATTTTCCTGCTCATCTAATGCACAGAATACTAATTTCAGCTAAGAGTGTTCGCAAATCACCCTCTATTCAGCTATTCAACTATTCAGCACACATTTCTAGTGTGATATGTGATATATAGCCTATAAGTAATTTATAAGAAAACCGTATGTGTGGCTAGAAGGTGTTATTTGTGTAGGAGTAGCAACTGCAGGGACTTTTTCAGCATTTTGAAGGCTTTTTAGCTTCAGTGTGATTACCGTTCAATCAATCAAATTCCTCAGGAAATCAAACATAATAATGATTGCATTAAGTTGCTTCTATTTTCATTCCATGTGACTTCCAGATGTTTTGTCATGGGAGAATGAGAGACACTAAATTGTCCGTCGATCAGTAGGTTGTGCGATGGATTGGCCATGTTTCCCTGTCTACGGCCAAAGATGCTGGAATAGGCTCCAGCTTCCCCACAAACCTACATGGATTGATGTTTGTCATTGTTTAGTAATAAGAACTCTAATGAAACTAATTACCCATTATGTGCCTTCCTGTGTTTTGCAAAGCATTGCATGTGGACGGAACACACCACCATAATTAAACTAGCAAAAGTGATGCAAAACAGACAACTACTTATTATGGTTTATTTATAAAAAGAATAATCATGCATGCTTTTTCATAAATTTTCGTTTTGATGAGCCAAACAGAATTCATGCCAAAGACTTAAGTTTGTTTGTGAAATCGATGCAATCCTCAGCCTCTTCATAGGTCACTTTGCATAGATTTTTGCAGATATTCTGTTGGCTTTGAGTTAGAAACTAGAAAATAAGATAATTCTGCATCATAACTGCAAAAAAAGTTTGCTGTCAAGAAAAGAACTGTACAAAAATGACACCTTTAGGGGTACAACAGCTTGTCAGCGGGGCAGTATGCTCAAAGATACATTCGTTGTGCTTGTAGTACATGTTAAGGTACTAATGTACCCTTTAGGCTACAGTGACAAGCTGTCGTACCTCTAAAGGTACAAATTGTGCATATTTTTTTCTGACAGTACAGTATACTCATTAAGTTTGAACAAGTTATAATGCCAGCAGTGCTGCTTTCATAAACAGACATAACAGCATGTCTGACGTAACAGGCAGATAATCAAGCCTCAGGATGCTTGTGGAATATTTTAAATTACTGCTATATACTGGAAATCCTTACACAACCCCAGAGTTTGGAGTCTGAACAGCAAAGCAAAACTGCAATGGCCGATAGTCCAGAGTGCACCACTGGATAAAAATACAAAAAGGTAATTGTGACATTTTTTTTTTTATTCTGAGTTTGTCACAATTCTGACATTTCTTGCAATTCTGAGTTTATATCGCACAATTCAGACTTTTTTTTCATTCTGATTTTAAATCTCTTAATTCTGACTTTGTTTCTCACAATTCTGACTTTTAATCTCAAAATTCAGACTTTTTTAGTTTGTTTGTCTCACAATTTTGACTTTTATTTATTTTATTCATTTTTTTCACCCTCAGACGTTTACATTGCAATTGTGGAATAAAAATGAAAACGGTAACTGACTTTCTATCTCACAATTTTGACTTTTTCTCAGAATTGCCAGTTTACTGTATGCCTTGTAATTGCAAGTTATAAACTCACATTTGTATGTTAACATCTCAAAATTATTTTTTCTCAGTATTGCAAGAAGCAAATCAGAATTCTGAGATATAAACTCAGAACTGCGAGAATAAAGTTTGAATTGTAAGATAAAAAAGTTGCAATTACCTTTTTATATGATGATGGAAACAGGCATCCATAGAAAATCTCTCCATGTGCATATTTGCAGTATCAGCTGCTGTCATGGCATTCAATGAACATAAACGTGGGCCATGATAACTCAGAACAGGCTACTGTTTGGTAAAAGTTATTGATGTTGGCCTTCAGCAGCGTTATTAGCAATGCCCCTAATGATACACAACACAATGCAGTGTAAATCACCATGCTGTCAGACACATGCTACACAAAAGACTCAGATAAATGAATAAACCACTTAATGAGAATATTGTTTCCTCCAAGAGATGAATCTCCATTTAATTTTTTTCAGTATAGCAATATTTCACAGAAGTTAATCACACTGTACGTGTTGTTTGCTTCAGCTTCTTCTAAAAATTATGATATTATGATTCTGTGCCGGTAATAGAAATCCATGCCTCTTTCAAGACTTCCATACTAATGAGATCAATTGCCACCCATTTTAATTGTTTTTTCTTCTTCTTCCCATCTGTCTTATAGGGCAAGCAAAATGTTCCAGAACTTAATTGCTCGAGAGAGAGAGAGAGAGAGAGAGAGAACGAGACTGAGACGGGATTACTTCAAAGGATCTTTCTGCCACCAAACAAATACCAGTTCTTCCCACACAATCAAACAAATGTCAATTAGCAAGCATCACATCCCCTCCCTCTCAGCCCAATTAGGAGGATGGAAGTCTATCACACAAATATGCCACTGTTCAGAGACCTGTGAAATAAAGCTGGCGGAAGATAGCGGAGTCCAGGCCTTCTGTCCATTTTCCAATTAAAGACCATGATCTACTAATGAATAAGCAAGTCTGACACTAAGAGGTCTCCGCCAGTGGGTTGTTTGATTGGACACTTGACTTTCATTGATGGATTAAAGGATGACTCCACTGAGGGAATGTGTTGTTTAGCTGTTTTCTTCAGCTTTTCACGACTTCCAGACTGAATTTGGCAGAGTTAGGACCCTGTCTGATTGATGCGTATACCTTTTTGCCCGCATATTAGGAGAAATAATTCATCGAAGTGTTGTGGACGCCTCAGATTTGACAAATCTAACATTGTTTATTGCAGTTCTGTTTTAAGACAGCAGCTGTCAAACTGTCATGAAACAGAAAAAACAATAGCCTGTAGAGCTCGGAAATGGGATAACACAGTCTCTGGTTTGATTGCCCGCAGCAAAGAATAGATTCATAATGTTAATGTGCAATAGAGTGGCTGACAGAATAATCTTGAAAAAATAAAATAAAACCTGCAGTACTGCTTACTGTCATTTCTTCAATCTGAACGCAACAGACAAAATGTATAATAAGAGGCGGCGTTTGTCAAAATACTAACATTTGCGCACATTCAATACAGGCAACTTTTTGATAGGTGTTGATATTTATTTGCAATCAGTACATGACATACAATTACGAATTTACACTGAAGAATTGCAGCTTACAACAAAGGCGACAGATTTCCGTTCAAACCCAAGGTGAGGTAGGATCAAGAGGATTTGTATGATATGTTGGGAAATGGTAGAAAGTTCTAGAGAGATGTGAAATGTGAAAATTAAATGGCAAAAGATGCATGAGCTCATGATGCAGATGTAACATATGCACTCCAAACTGTCGCATAGACCTTTACAACCAAAAAATAAGGGACCTGGGTGTTATTGTCTCAACTCAACACTGTCTCAGTTCATCTACACTCAACAAACCTAAACTCCAGGAAGCTTAGTTACATATTTACATAGATATTGTGAAGCTCAAGTGCTTTGGCATGGTATTTTGTAACCCTCCGAATGAAGAACCTCTTTGAGAGGAAAAGCTTGGTGCATTGAGACAGTCGTTGGCACAGCAGGAGTTTAATATTTTCCTGTGAAAACGTTGATCAATCGTGCTCTTCAAAAATAACTTGATTTCTGTGATTGTTACACAACAAAGTCCGACAGGCAACACTTGATGAAATTAAAACTTCAAATAGCCTCAAACTGAAGTTGTTACGGTTGCTAAACGAGTCTCTGCATGGGTGTGCATGGGAACAGCTTGATGCGCATTGTTGAAAAATGTACAGTCCAACCTGCAAATTTCCCACTTGCTCTGGCCAGATGTGCAATTCAGGAAGAACAATGCTGTTGCTATGGTAACCACTTTCCACAGCCTTTTAATACCAAAGGTCAATGCCTTTCTGATAATATAATCTGACACCAGAAGTATTGCTTTAGTGAACAGTCTATTGAAACTCTTTAAATAACATGAAAGGAAGCCACAAAGTATCAAAAAAACAAACGTCATGAAATAACAAGCCAAATAATAAATACCTAATGTCTTTCAAAAATAAATGAGATCATTCATGCCAAAATAAGTGCTTATGTGCCTGCATGTCTCCAAACCAAATCTGTAATAAGACAGACACCCTTCAAGTGTCTTATTTAGTCTCTTTATGCCTCCTCTTAAAGATGGTGGACCGTTTAAAGAAGCCAAGCCCAGTGCAGTCCAACCGGAAGAAAAGAAGCTATCGGAGGAAATGTAGGTCAACAGTCGGAAATGAAAGCTGAGGTCCTAGGCTTTGGCCCAGCTCACAGGAACCCAGAAGGTCTCCCGCTCCAGTCTCTCCAGGATGCTACGTAGTTCTGCGCAGGCACTGGCAGTGTCCTCTTTAATCAGGACCCGATCCACTAGGTGACCGTACTGTTGATCTGTCTGCTGCGCTGACAGACGCATTTCCTGCAGGTCCTCCTCCTGAAAGATGAGGAGATGAGAGAGTGTAGTAGGGCATGAATATTTATAGTGAGAATGAAATGAAAGAGATGTCAGTAGATGTGTGCAAAAATATATAGCAATCAAGCTAGCGATACTGTGTCTGTAGATTCTGTGATTTTCCCATAAATTTTGCAAGTGAGACAAACCTTAAGATCATTTTTAAAGCCAGCCAGTCTCTGCAATTTTATTCCAATTATTATGAAATGACACAATTTCAAGGCTGATTTTTTGAGAGGCTGGAAGAATTGTCGTTGATCAGTGCCACGGGCTTTCTTGAGAGCCGAGTGATGTAAACCTGTGATCAGACTCACTGTTATTCGCCCATGTTCAGCTCCTCCTGGCGAAGTGGCGGCACTGCGGCGTCTGCGACTCTCTGGGATTCGTGGTTTTACGAAAATGACGTAAGGCTTAAATTCAGCTGTCCGTAGGGCCTTCAGAGCCTGTAGCGGGACAAACAACAGAACCAGTAATGTGGAGAGGTAAATGACACTATCTACCTACACTGCTGTTCAAATTTGAGGCAAGTAAGAAATAAATACTCTTATTCAGCAAGGATGCATTAAATCAGTGATCAAAAATCATTGTAGTCATTTACAATGTTAAAAAAGATTTATATTTTAAAGAAATGCTGTTGTTTTGTTCTATTTTTAATTGCTTTCTATTCTATTTGGTTTCTATTCATCAAAGAATCCTGAACAAAAGAATCAGTTTCCACAAAAAAATATTAAGAAGCAAGAGTTATCGATAATTTCACCAGTGATAATAAGAAATGCTTCTTGAGCACCAAATCAGCATATTAGAATGACATACAGTGGTGTGAAAAAGTGTTGGCCCCCTTCCTGATTTCTTATTTTTTTGCATGTTTGTCACACTTTAATGTTTCAGATCATCAAACAAATTTAAATATTAGTAAAAGATAATACAAGTGAACACAACATGCAGTTTTTAAATTAAGGTTTTTATTATTAAGGGAAAACAAAATCCAAAACTACATGGCCCTGTGTGAAAAAGTGTTTGCCCCCTAAACCTAATAACTGGTTGGGCCACCCTTAGCAGCAACAACTGCAATCAAGCGTTTGAGATAACTTGCAATGAGTCTGTTACAGCGCTGTGGAGGAATTTTGGTCCACTCATCTATGCAGAATTGTTGTAATTCAGCCACATTGGAGGGTTTTCGAGCATGAACCGCCTTTTTAAGGTCATGCCACAGCATCTCAATAGGATTCAGAAATCAGCAAGGGGGCCAACACTTTTTCACACCACTGTATCTATTATCCTATCTATTGTTCTGACTCTTTCATAACCTTTTCTTCATAATGAGGTTTGACATTAAAAACACATAATCTATAGGGTTTCACAAAGAGTTTTTCTCTTAAATTGTTTTAACCCAGTTGCAATGAACTTTACAAGTGCACCTACAGAATCACATAATAAATAAACGATGTCTGTATGCCCTGATAAACTTTCAGTTCAGTTTAAGCCAGTAGCAGTAAAATCTCACATTAAAAATGTATGAGAGCAAGTGTTAGGTAAATTGCCTCCCATTATCATAAGTAGGATTCTTGCCATTGGGGGTAAAGTACTGCATGTGGTCTTGCACAACTAATATTCTTGTTGCAATAGACAAGTAGCTCCACCTGAAGGTGAAACTTGTCAGTACATATCAGCACTGGAGAACGACTTCCTTTTAGCATTGTAAGTGATGCATAAAAAATTGCAAATAAAACCAAAACAAAAAAAAAAACATCAGACATTTGCTTTTGTGCATAATTTAAAAGAATAGTTTGCTGTTTTCATGTAAATTATAAATGAGAGTGTTTACAGTAATTCTTGAATCAACACCCAGGGCAAAATCTGCTGTAATTTACCTCAGGCTGTACATCTACCAGACACATCTTGTTCTTGGCTTGAACAGAGCGGATGGCCTCTATACTGGTCCCATACAGATTCTCCTTATACTCTCCATACTCTATAAATCTACAGACAAACGATTCAAGTCAGGGTATGGCAATAGGGCAATATATTGGCTGGATAAAACTTGTGTAGTAGAAGAGAAGCAGTACAAGAGGAACACATTACAGTGGGACTCACTTGTTATTCTGTGCATCTCCATCAAACACCTGTTTAGTCACAAAGTGGTACTCCACTCCCTCCTTCTCGTGGCTCTTTTTGGGCCGTGTGGTGTCTGTGATGGAGAATAGAGAGCCAAAGATGTCATATGGATTGAAGGGATGGTGATTTATTTACCCCTGTGTACCTATAAACCTACAGTGTGCAACTTTCTTTGTGTGAAACACAAAAGAAAAATTCCAAAGACTTCCATGTGATTATGGACCGAAGCTTTCAAGTGTTCAAGAATGATAAAGACATAAAGTGGTTCATATGTGCTTTTGTATTTTTTTTTTTTTTTTTTAAGCCTCCCAACTCCAGTCC